GAAATATTACATACTATAATAGTACAGTTACACGTACTGAAATATTACATACTATAATAGTACAGTTACAGGACTGAAATATTACATACTTAATAGTACAGTTACAGGACTGAAATATTACATACTATAATAGTACAGTTACAGGACTGAAATATTACATACTATAATAGTACAGTTACAGGACTGAAATATTACATACTATAATAGTACAGTTACACGACTGAAATATTACATACTGTAACAACACCGAAGAAATTTTTATAGTTTACTTTGAAAGGTGTTAGAAAATATGAGGGTCACACTGTGTCCAATGGTGTTAGTTTCTGTTGACTTAAGACATTAAAATTACATTATGACCAGAATGGTGTTGGTTTCTGTTGACTTAAGACATTAAATTACATTATGACCAGAATGGTGTTGGTTTCTGTTGATTTAAGACATGAAGGTCACACTATGACCAGAATGGTGTTGGTTTCTGTTGACTTAAGACATAAAGGTCACACTATGATCAAAATGGTGTTGGTTTCAATCCGTATATTTTAATATTTTCAATTTGAATAAGACAAGCAACTACTTACAAGAACTTATGTGCAGTTGTATAAAAGTTTTCTCGCCTCTGATTATTTTGGTACAAGTTTGATGACAAAATCTTGTCGAAACGTTGTAAATGTGTTACTATATTAAACCTGCAATAACATTTTCTTCGTGACCCTTTCAAGCCGACTCCAAGTTTTATTTGGTACAGATTGCTCGGTGGGAGGGAAGGTCTATCAGGATGGAGAAGAAATTGAAGACACAAAGACTGACCCCTGTGTACTTTGTCGCTGCCAGGTATGATAGGCTTAGGTTGATGTAATTAATATTCTTTAAAAAAAATTAAACATCACGATCTTATCTTTTCTGGTCAAAGTTTCGCAATCTTTAAAAAAGAAAAAAAAAAGGAAATTACACTTTGAACAAGGGAAAAAAATAAAAACAATAGAATACCATGTTAAAAGTTACTTGATCAACATTGTGGTTGTAATTATCGTTACTCTTATGAAGGATAAAATAGTTTATAGTTCTGTATTTAACACAATTATAGTTTTATAAGATGAGGTTAACCACAAAGTATAGAAACTACTGATTTAGTTTTCTTGTTGTATTTCATTAGTTTTCACAACCCTTTTTCTTATTAAAACAATTAAATGAGTAGAATTGGCCACGCAGGGGCTGATTACCCAAAAGGCAAAGTAGACAGATGCGTATGAGCCCCTGATGTTAAGGGTCTTACAATGGTTATATTTTTTCAACAGCCTTCCCAGATGTAAACAGAACTTTAAAAGCGCTACATTTGGTACAATATTTTTTGAATTAAAAAAAAAGAGGGCTAATTGAGAAAGGGGATCCACAGAACTATAGTTGCCAAAGGGGCCCACTGAGGTCGTGATCCAGCTGTAAAGACACGTTATTATATAAAAAAAAAACTGTTATATCATTTAAAAAAATTATGAAAATTACTTACGACTAAAAGTGTTTAAAGTATCCTCTTTAAATTTTTTAAAAGTGTCTTCCTGGATGTTTTTAAAGTACCTTAGAGTTTTAAAAGTTACTTAAAGTATCCCTTTAAGATTTTTTAAAGTGTTCCAAGAACCTGAAAGTTTTAAAGTGTCTAAGGTATCCCCCTGAGAGTTTTTAAATTGTTTAAAGTATCCCCCTGAGAGTTTTTAAAGTGTCTAAGGTATTCCCCTGAGAGTTTTTAAATTGTTTAAAGTATCCCCCTGAGAGTTTTTAAAGTGTCTAAGGTATTCCCCTGAGAGTTTTTAAATTGTTTAAAGTATCCCCCTGAGAGTTTTTAAAGTGTCTAAGGTATTCCCCTGAGAGTTTTTAAATTGTTCAAAGTATCCCCCTGAGAGTTTTTAAACTTGAACTCTTTGTTTCCAGAAAGGAAGTATTGTTTGTTTTAAGAAAGCCTGTCCAGTTCTGCCTTGTCCATCTATCAGATACACCCTGCATTCGGGCGAATGTTGTCCACGATGTAGAGGTAGGTGTGGAGTAGACTAAAGATTCACTGACCATGAACTCTTCTTTACTTATTACCAGCGCTGACCGTCGGTGGTCTGGCGTGGCCTGGTGGCTCGCTTCGCAATCTGCGGATCGCGAGTTCGATTCCCCTCCTATCAAACACGCTCGCCCTTTCAGCAGTGGAGGCGTATAATGTGATGATCAATCCCACTATTCGTTGGTGGAAGAGTAGCTCAAGAGTTGGCGGTGGGTGGTAATGACTAGCTGCCTTCCCTCTAGTGAGTCTAGTCTATCGCTGCTAAATTGAGGACCAAACCAAACTGACCACCATCGGCGTTTTGATCACGGTGTCTCTGTTTTGGGCTAGTCTAATAATCTAATGGAATTAAAAATTTGCTTGGTATGAATTTCGCGCACAGCTACTCGAGATCTATCTGTACTAGCAGTCCGTAAATTAGCAGTGATAGACATCACTCACCGCCAACTCTTGGGCTATTCTTGTACCAACGAATAGTGGGATTGACCGTCATATTATAACGCCCCCACGGCTGAAAGGACGAGCATGTTCGGTCACGAGGATGCGAATCCGCGACCCTCAGATTGCGAGTGGAGCAGTTTAACCACCAGTCCATGCTAGGCCTAACCACTAGGCCTAGAAACGAAAGAAAATAAATGTCATTACAAAATATGGAAACTGGATATAAAAATAATAATACATGAAACTACGACATTAATAGAAGACAAAAATAAATATCGTCACTTGTAAAGTTATAAAATTAAGTGTGTTAAGCAAATTGTATACATAAAAACGCAGATAATCAAACATACTTAAGAATATATACAAAATAGTTTTTTTTTTATTCTAGTTAAGCTACACAAAGCTATACGATGGGCTATCTGTGATGTGCCCACCACGGGCACCTAAACCTGGTTTTTAGCGTTATAAGCCATCACACTTACCACTGAGCCAGTGAGGGACTTTATAGAAGTTATAGAAGAGCTTTAAAATTTTGTTAGAAGCAATATTTTTCTCAAAATCGAACTAACTTCGAAAGAAAACATAAAATTACAAAAAAATTCAGATAAAGTTATCTTTATAGAATAAATGAAAATGCGACGTTGCTTTGTCTTAACGTTTAGAAAAAAGGTGCAAAATTAATCATCAGTTCGTTATTTATTTGAATTCAGAACTTCTTATTGTTTAATTTACTGCTATTTAAAAACAATAAAATTTTAACAAACCACAATTTTAATTGAAAATGCAATAACAACAAATGTTTACAGCAGCCAGGTTCTCGTTTTAATAATCACAACGTTTCGACCAATAGTATCGAGCCATCATGAGGTTGGTGTTACGAGGCGAAGATAAACATTTAACAACTTATTTGTCTTTTTATAGGTAGCCAGAAAATCGAAGATTTTAGCGGAAAGTGCTATCTGGCGGCGACTAGTATAAAGTTAGGTGATGATACTAGAAGGTTCAGTTTTATTTACAGTTAGGTGATGATGCTAGAAGGTTCAGTTTTATTTTTACTTTTTTCTTATATTCATCTCTGCATACCTCATAAGCTCGTCCTTCGAATAAGCAGACTGACTTTAATTCTTCTGGTTCACTACACGTGTAGCAGCACTGGTCAGGTAGCGCCACCTGGAAGTGGGGTGGACAATGTACAGGAGGACAGACTTTCCGGTTGCATATAGTTGTGGAATTCTGAAACAGCATATTTTAGCTTAGATCTATAATTTATTACTTTTTACAGCATTGTGAAACATATTTTTAGTCCCATGTTCATGCAGTGTAATAAAAACGTACAATATCACTACGACTGTTTACAGATACAAACAAATTAAATATGAATTAACGCAACAGGAAGGAGATCCAGGTATCCGAGTCTTGTGTGAAGTTTTGAGTGTTAATTTTGAGTTTCAAAATTATGCTTGAAAGATATTTGTATTGTTAAACACAGCTTTAATGACAATGAAAATTATAGAGCCTAGAAGTAGCCTACTTGGCATTTACAGATGGTGCAGGAATCAAACGCCAAACTCTCTCCATCGCTCAATAAAACTAAACCTTCTAGTGTCACCTAACTATCAATAAAACTGAACCTTCTAGTGTCACCACCTAACTATCAATAAAACTGAGCCTTCTAGTGTCACCACCTAACTATCAATAAAACTGAACCTTCTAGTATCATCACCTAACTGTAAATAAAACTGAACCTTCTAGTGTCACCTAACTATCAATAAAACTGAACCTTCTAGTGTCACCACCTAACTATCAATAAAACTAAACCTTCTAGTGTCACCACCTAACTATCAATAAAACTAAACCTTCTAGTGTCACCACCTAACTATCAATAAAACTGAACCTTCTAGTGTCACCA